CTGGCCCTCCTTGATTCCCTCAGTTGCTTTCAGTATCCTTCTGTGCTGGCTAAGGGTGCCGGGAGTGGGCGGCATAATTCTTCAGTGGTTCTCTGACCTCCAGGTTTCAGTCAGTGTTGGTAGTAGTACAGGAAAGGTCCAGCCCTAGGCCACTGCTTTGTGGGATGGCACAGAGATCAATTCTCTTTCCACTCCTCTGTAAGATTTAAATGCAACTGGTGGGCAAGATTATCTATTGACATGGGGTCAAAAATAATCAATATATCTCTTATACTTTACATATATGTTGGGTTATCCAGATGATTCCATCAAGGTATGTTCTCAAGGCCAATGTTTGAATCTGTATGGAGGACAGGTCTTATTTTCTTTTGACCCCCGAAATAAGCACTTGGCNCTATCTATCTATCTATCTATCTATCTATCTATCTATCATCTATCATCTATCATCTATCATCTATCATCTATCATCTATCATCTATCATCTATCATCTATCTATCTATCAGTGATAAAATATAAAACTGCAAAAGCACAATATATGCAGCATACACTAACACCAAAGTATACTTCGGGCATAGTCATGAAAATGAACATTCTACTTTAGAATTCTCTGGTGCCCTGTAATATATTGTAATAGATTGGAGAGATTTTTGTGTGTGTGTGCTTTTGCCTGGAATGTTGCCTTCCCTTACATATTTTTTAAAAAAGTAATTTGAAGACTAGGAAGGAAGGACTGAAACCTCCAAACGTACCTCTGTACTAGATGATTAAGAGGTGGCCTTATTTAAATTATTTAAATGTTTGCATTTGGATGTTTTTGAATTCCCAAAAAGTCATACCAGGCTGCAAAAGCCTATTCCTTTTATACACTGGGATTTGAAGCTAAATGCCCTGTGAGACATCCCTTAGAGAAGAGGTGGTGGGAAAGGAGCTATCAAGCTACTATTTTTTTTTAAAGGAGGAGAAGAAGATCAGACTGTAAAGACCTAGAGGAATTCTGGAAGAGGTTTGGGGGTCCATAGTAGTGCTTCTTCTCTTTTCCCTTCATAAATCTCCCCATGCAATCTGCTATGCTTTGTTGATGTTGTTGATGATGCTGGAACATTCTTAGCTCCCATTGTCTACTTTATGTTGCTGGATATCTGTATACGTGTGCATGTGGGTGCTGTCAGCCCCTTCACACTCTTCATCTGCAGGAGAGATGGGGGAAGGTAGCAGATAACATTTCATCCTCTTTCAACTAAGCTGGCAGAAACTCAGGAATTCTCTTCCTGTCCTTTCATCTACAAGAGCAGAGAAAAAAAATCACACTTTGATATTAACTTTGAGAGAAGAGACAACTGTTAACTATTCAGGTGTCAAAACCCACCTTCTCAGCCCCACTTCAGTGTTTAGGGAGAATGATTAGTAGGAACTTTTCTCACTATCAGGTGATGTTCAGTAGGAAGACCAAGGAAGCCAGAGATATCCACCATTTTCCTTGTCGCCATTCAATATGTATGTATGCCTCTTTGTATAATAGAATAAAATTTGGCCATTGAGGCAATGCTATTTATGTCAATATAACTTCCTGATCACTTGGGGAAAGGTGGATTATATATTAATGCAGCCATAAAAATTACTTCATATCCCTTATTCTCTCTAGAGAGTGAAAAGTAGCTTCAGGAAGAATTTCGAGAGAGAAATAACAAAAAGGTAAAAATCTCTGCTATTATCAAATAATTGCTGTTTTGAGAAAAATGGGGAAATCTGCTTCATTTTTAATAGCACAAACATTTTAAAAATGCATGGTATATAAATTGTCCATGCCATATATAGCTCCCATACCTTCTAACCATTCATGTGTGGTAGATCCCATTAAATTCACATTACAAATTGCAGGAAGACCAGACTAATGAAAATATAAAAAGGTCAAAGGAGCTAAATTTTGAACAAAGCTGATTGGCTAGAAAAGGCTGCCAATGGGATGATCAGGCCAGGGGATTCATCTGACCAATGGGCTTTCACCTTTCTGCCAATTTGAATATCCTGCAAAATAGTGCTAAAAGGAGAGCAGTAATTCGTCTTCTCTGTCTACCCCATTAGAAACGTTATGCCTACAAGGAGAGAAATTTATCCTTCCTACTCATCCCTCGCTGTTCAAATGATCCCTAATTACTGCTGCGGTTTTAAAACATGTGTTGACTTATGACCACAATTGAGCCCGAAATTTTGGTTGCTAAGTGAGACATTTCTTACATGAATATTGCCCCATTTTATGACCTTTCTTGCCAGTTGTTAAGTGAATCACTGCAGTCATTAAATGAGTAACACAGTTGTTCAATGAATCTGGCTTTCCCATTGACTTTGCTTGTCAGAAGGTCGCAAAAAGGGATCACATGACCCCGGGACATTTGCAACTGTCATAAATGTGAATCAGTTGCCAAGTGTCTGTATTTTGATCATGTGACCATGGGGATGTGGCAAGGGTCGTAAATGTGAAAAACAATCATGAATCACTTTTTTCAGTGCTATTGTAACTTTGAATGGTCGCTAAAATGCAATGGATCTCTTGCAGTCCCCTGCCAGTAGTAGATTACCTCACGTGGGCTGCAAATTTCAATCCATCATCCTTGATCCAAATCCTGTAAAGATTACTACGGTACCAAAAAAATAACTTGGATAACCACACATCCTGTTTGACTTGGATTGTCTTAGTTTTGCACTCTGATTGTTCCAACTTATGTAAAAAAAAAAAAAAATCCAGAAAAGCAGAGCTGGAGATATGATCTCACTTTCTTTCCTCTTCTCTTGACCTTCAAGATCAGTTTATTCTGCTTTTCCATTGCTCTGAGAAGAAACAGGCAAAAATGCTTGATGTTCAGATTCCCACTGTGCCTGGGAGGCCTTAAGTTCGCTTGACGCAAACTGCCCAGTTTTCTGAGAATATTGTACAGCCAAGCTATAAGAGGCAAGACAACTCTGTTGTTTATGTACAACTACTTGAAATCTAATATATAGACAGAGCATATTTGCCAAAAATTAGAATAGCAATCTACATTTTATTGTTGGAAGAAATTTCCATCTGGGTTCAGTTCCAGGTGGGGAAAAAGACACTGGAAACATGGAGGCTGTTTGGAAAGATGGCTTAATGGTGGACAGGATGACATGTCTTGAAGCTCCTGGGTGAAAAGGGAAGAGATGCTGAGAGTTCCTGGGTTTTATGCCCTCTCTGGGCTTTGAACTTCCTGAGACATAGGAAGAATATCCTGATTGGTTGCTGTCAGAGGTCATAGCTAGCTTTGTAGGTTGTCTTTGTACTAAGTTGGGTTGAAATTTGGTGGGTGGTGCAATGAAATGGGGTAGATCTTTCTTATGTAGAATAGGCTGGCTCAAGCCTTAATGGCCCATTGACAAAGGTGGGGGGGCTATTAAGAGTTAGTCGATTTCCTGCCTAAAACATGTTTCTCTGGCTCAGGCCTTAATGACCTATTGACAAAGGTGGGGGATGGGTTTCTGCCTCCCTTTTAGGGGGAAATATTTTTCCCCTTTAATATTTCCTAAAATATTTCATTCTTCTAGGAGAGGAGTGGGTGCTAATTTCCTACATTATAAAGCAGACTTTCTCCTGCCTTTAGATTTCTTTAACTTTTCTCCAATATTGACACAGCATTTTATGGAAATACAAGTCTCCTTCTGTTGCTTGTCCTTCAGGGAGAGGAAATAGCACAATAATCCCATCCCCCAATATAAACTCATCCCTCTGAGTATGAAGATGTAGTTTTCCACTGGCAGTTCATGTTTCATCACACCCATCGTCCATATTTCCAGTGATCTGTAAAGCTTTAGTTGGTGTGTCCCCGCTCTTCCTACAATAAAATGTAGGTTGCTAACTGCTGTTTCCCTACCAAATTCTTATCACTGGATTAATAGAAGAAGGCACTACTTAAAGAATCTGCCACTACAAAATATTTACCCAGGAATTTCAATGTACACATCATAATCCGCATCCTCTAGTCTAAAGCTTCTTTAGGGAACTCAGCAGTCCTTTCCGGGTTTATGATCTAATTTTACCTGCAGTATTCTCCCAAACATCACAGCCTACGGTTCTTTTATACTCTTTGAACTCTCCCTCTTGTCCAGATAAGGCTCTCTAGCATACGTGAGAGGCTGCTGGTGTTATAACAATGCAGCTCCAAGTACTGTCACTGAGGTGGGAC